CCGGGCCTTATGGGGCTTCCCCCCCCCCCCCCTTTTGGTTGAACTGTGCCTGTTTACAGAAGATAGGTAATTCAGTTAACACATATGTTCTAGCATTCTCTGTTTTCTGCGCATCCTGCAAATGAATCGCTCTGCTAGCAACTGTAGCTAGTGTAGATTTCACATGCAATAAGGTATTCATATGAAACTTCTGCAGGGAATAAGTGGAACTTATTTACTATACGCCATGTGAATGTTATCTTAGTCATCTGCTTCTTGATGACACACACTTTTATTTGTTATATGTACATTTATTCAAAGGCACTCCAGGTGTGCACTGGCCTTCCTTTTTGTAGCCAGTTTTTCCCCTTTCCTCACAGCCTTCATTCTTTCTGCAATTCTGTTCTCTTACCCTTCAGCACTCCTTCTCACCACTGTTTTAATCTTCTTTTGTGTTCTATTACAAGTGTTGTGGCTTTTTATTACATCCTATGCTTTTCCTGGTTGCAATCATGTCTGTAGTTCAGTCTGGAAGACTTGGCAGCAATGTTTAAGTCTCTCTGGTGCACTACATATTTGTTTAAAACAGAAATTAAAAAATGCATTTCCACTTTGATGAAGGTTGACTATTTTGACAAAAGTTGCCTGGACTCTAAGTCCCCATTCACACTGTAATTGGCCGGCACGTACAGATCCGTGCTGTGTGCATTGCCGTATCGGGCAGCTCCCGGGAAGGACAGATGCTGCGTGTGATTAGTATGCAACCCATGTCCTTCTCTATGGAACTACGCGGCCATGCGCCCCCCTACGCTCACCTCAAGTGCACGTCCGTACGGGTGAGCGTACTTGTATGCTAACAGGATGGGTCCTGTCTGCCTCTGAGCCAGGAAACACGCACCATTGAGGTGAGCGTAGAGGGGGGCGTATGGCCCCGTAGTCTCATAGAAAAGGACAGGGGCTGCGTACTAATCACACGCAGCACCTGTCGGGAGCTGCCTGATACGGCTGTGCACGCAGCACGGAGCTGTAGGTGCCGGCCGATTCCTGTGTGAATGGGGCCTAAAGCTGTTGAGTTTATTCAGCCAAAGCTGAAAATGCTCAGTAGTGTATCGACCACTTGACAGATCCTACTCCTCAATTCTCAGAGGGTTTGGTGGACCATTGATTCTCTGTAACCACCAGTGACTGAATCGTTCTCACTATACATACCTGTATGCTACTCTAGGGCCTTTTTAGGCTACAATCATATTTTTAAAGTGGTGAATGTGACATTCACATTCCCTGCAGGTGAATCTTTCTATTGTATGTGTTATAAATTACAGGGAATAATCAGCCACCTGTGAATATTGGTGAATGTGACATTCACTATGTTCTTTAGATTCCCCTAGTGTATTTCAAAGTGACCACATGTTGTTTTAGGTTTTTAGTCTTTTTCTCAACCAGTTAAGCTTCAGAGTCATATTTACAATTCAGAAAGAGGCCTATTAATTTAGAAATAACGTTATTATTTATTATACAGAAGTAAACATTTATTTCGACATTAAAAGGTTTCTAGTAGAAAGCATGGTCAAGTTATTTACAAACATATTTTTTAATGCTTACACTACATTAAACTAAAAAGCAAAAAAAGTGAAGAAAAAACACAAACAAGTTGCATCAACATTTTAAAGTTAGCTTATTATTAAGCCTTTTCTTCTACCTTAAACATTTTTTGAAATATGACTTTGACATTGGACCTTATTTGTCACTGTGTCTAAAGCAGTGGTTCTCAACCTGTCTAACCTCAGGACCCACATTTGTCGTTGGTCATTAAGTCGCGACCCACGTTGCACTGCAATGGAACGCACGGCAGTGTGGGCTGCTGTGCTGTAATGGAGCTCCATCCATATGTGCATTGCTTGTACAGTTCCCATGCGCACCCTGTAGCGGTGCTGGGAGCCAGAATGTGATGTCACTCCAGTCCAGGCACCGCTACAGGACATGCAAGGGAGCTATAAGCAATGCATGTATGGATGGAGGTCCCTGGCAGCCCCACCTCAAGCTGACACTCAGTGCCAGGCAGCATATTCTGAATGGCTGCTCAGTGCGAGAACTGATATTGCTGCACTAAAAGGAGGCTGAGAAGCCTCTCGCCAAGAAAAGTGGAAGGCATGCGGTGACCCACTGAACACGGGGTCGCGACCCACTTTTGGGTCACGACCCACCAGTTGAGAACCAAGGGTCTAAAGGAACTGGTTATGCCTAGGGTACCAAGTATTTTCCTCACTTTCAGTGTCTTAAGTGCTGAATGTGAGAATAAAGAGATAATATCTGCCTGGATGCTATGGGCATTAAGAACAGCTGTTCCTTCATTTTGATGTGACCAGCTGTTGAAATCTGGTGTGTGTTTGGTATGCTAATTTGTAGTTGCCTTGTGCATTCCCTGCAAAGGCATCCATCAATTAAACCTTGATTTAGATGTTGCATGTGAATGGTTTTTACTAGAATGTCTTTGTAGTGCATTCAGTTACATTTATGCGTTGCACCTGTTTGTTGTATAGTCTGCAGGGCACAGTTCATATATTATTATAGCTACAAGCCACTGCAAAAAGATCATTAAATCGTATATCCGCATCCAAGAGAATTACTTACTAAAAGTACACTGATGTTCATAGTTAGGCCACAAATTATATTGTTATATATTGGGGAATGTCCAGGTAGTTTTGCAGATTGGAATCATGGAAAATAAATGCTCACTAAATAAACTGATAAAAGAAAGAAGAGCAATACCTCCTCATACATTCAAAAGATATACATCAAAGACACACACAACATTTTAGACACACACCCACACCCCCCTCTTCTGTGACGGGCAGGTTCCACACTGCTGTCATGTTTACCATCCAGTGAAAAAGTTCTGCACTCCTATAGTCATGTAATCTTTTAATAGGAAGCTGGTACATAGGCTTGTACAGAAATATGTACAACCGAGCATCTCCCTGCTCTGTCAGGTGCACAGTCTTGATGAAGAGCGGGGATGATTGAAACTGTTGGGTGTGTTTCTGTACCAGCCATTGTACCAGCTCCCTATTAAAAGAAGATTGCAGCATAACTATTTTGCAGAGGTTTTGGATGTGCAAGAAACGAGAATGTTAATATTTTCATATGTTGGTCAAAAAAAAAAATGAATACAATTGCTCATATCAAGAAAAGGGAGATTGAAACTGTCGCAAAAAAATAGATAGTCATCTGGTTCACATCATAAATCCCAGACTTTGTTGAACTTGTCTGAACAGCATGTAGTTATCAATGGCCATTTTTGGTAAGCAGACCTAGTAATAGTAATACATACAAAGTAGTGTGTACAAGTGACACTTGCATGTATTGGATGCTTCCAAAATGGATCACAGTGCTCTCCCAATTATTGCTTTATATTCCTTTTTCCTCAGCCATTGCTCTTTGTTTGTTCTGGCATCCTATGGGTGCAGTATCTGCTTCCAGGGCTAAGAGATTGAACTGTAGAATCATGTAAGCACTGAAGCTAGTGCAGTAGGCTTGAAGTTCGTGACTGTGTATTTACACTTTGGTCGTAGCTCAGTCACCCTGCTCCTTGCTGCTGCCTGTCAATCTATGACCATCCATTGTAAAAATCCATACAACTCGCACTACTCAGTCCTGCTACTTTCTTTCATATTGTGCCCATTGCATACTTGCACAGTTTAGCCCCAAGCTGCCTTGTAACCTGTCATAACACTACACTAAGCAGAGTGATCGCAAGGGAAAGAGAAATTCCCTCCTGTTTGCAGTAGATTGATGCCATCATTCTTCCATCATATTTCTCTCTGGCAAACTTTGGGAGACTATGCCCACGCACAATTATTTTACAGAAGGTCAAACATTGTTTATAATGAAACATCATACTGTTGCTATATACTTTGACATGTCAGGAATTTGTTGATGCTTTTTATTGGCAAAAATGTCCATCCACTTCTAGTTACATGGCAGGTAGTACAATGCAAATCTGTACATATACTCTAGGAAAATGGTAAATGTCCATTGTATCCAAGTTTGTACTACACAGCACTAATTATTGAAAGCTCTGTAGAAAATTTTACAGTTGCTGGTATTTTAGAATACTTGTGTTAGAAGTGCAGATATTGGCCATGGATTAGATGTTGCAATTTTACTTGGAAGCCCATCTAAGCTTTGCCTGGTTTTAGAGCATGGCTGATTTGGAAAAAAAAAAAAGGCAAAGGGCCTTTTATTGGCGTTGTTCTCACTGCAGCTGATCTTACCCCATTACTGAATTGCCATGCCTTGTTTTGCTCTATTTGGAGGCAGCCATCTTAGTAGCGGCAGGGTTTTTCCTATATATTTTGTTGTAGATGATGTTGCCATGCATTTTGCTTACATTCATTTTCATGTCAGTTGCTCTGCTGACATTTCCTAGACTTTGAGGTTCAAAAGATAATTGCAAAATGCATGCCTGTACATCTTCCAAGCATTTCCATTCATTCCTATGTATTCCCAAAACACTTGTAAAATGCAGTATACTGCAATGCAGTACATTAAGAAAATACTACAAATATGTTTTATTAGGAAAGGGCTTGCACACATCTCATATACAAAGATATAAAACCGAGCAATTGCACTGCAATAGAAGGCATCTTAAACCAAATAGTTTTATGTATGTATTTTTATCTGTTATGAAACACAGAAAGGTGCGTGTAAATGAGGGCAGAGTCATTGAGGGTTAGTAAACATGCATTTAAGTTCTACAACAGAAATATTTTAAGTCAGCTCATGACTGAGCTTGTTTTTAGTTTCTGTTCGTAAATGACTGACACACTTTTGACATTTTTGCTGTGTGATTCTTCCACGTTAGTAATATACTTTCTTACAAAGTGCACCCACACATATTATATATTGTTTTTTAGAGGACAGATAGGGCTACATATTTATATCACATATGTGTGTCTAACGCCTCACTTAGGACAAATAAAATATAAAAAAAGAGGAAAAAAATGTAAAAAAAAAACCTTTTTTCCCAGTTATGATTTGTAGTAAAAAAAATGCAATAAATACATTCATTTATTTGTCCCTTATTTTATCTTATTTTTTACACATTTTTTTTTTTACACTTTTCACTTTTTTTTAAACTTAATGTTAAATGTTATTTTATTTAATTATATCAAGCAGTCATTGTGAATTAATCTCACCGTTACTGCTTGATAAATTAATACATTTTTGGTTATCAGGCTGCTTCAGAACAGCCGATAATAAGTTAGTGACACTGATCCTGCAGCAGTTCAGGATTCAGCTGTCACTAAAGGTTTTCTGATTGTTGCAACAACGATCAGCAAACAAACATTCTTCTTTCAGGAATAGATACATTATAGGAATAGACACATTATGTATCTATTCATGAAAGGAAAAAAAAAAAAAAAGCCAGTATAGCTTGAGAGAGATATCTCTCTCGATCTATACGAGCTGTCAGAATGCCGGCATTAGCCGGCATGTGTGTCCCTCTGCTTTGACTCTCAGACACCCGATATTAAGGTATCGGGTGTCTGAAAAAGGTTAACCCTTTCATTAATGAATGCCTCTGTAGTAAGGGCATCCATTAATGAATGTTAAAAGCTGATTCTCAGCGATTAACAGCCCTCTAAAGCAGCAAATAACTCGTCACGTACAGTGTACGTGACAAGTCATTTGGTCCCTTTGTGGCTGGACGTACAGTGTACGTCTCCCGTCACGAAGGGGTTAAAATGTTGGCTAGAGAGGTGGAGTGGAGGGAAGGGCATAGTCACATTCTAATGTCTGGATACATTCTAATAGACACATAGTTGGAACTCTTTATATATTTGTTTTTACAGTTTCTAGAAAAGCTAAATGTTATTAATTTTTTCCTTTCTCGACAGAAGATACTTCAGATATGGGATCCTGCAGGCTGTGTCAGAAAAGGAAGATGCCGAGCTGTGACCATGTGTATTTACTACAATATTATTGCACAGATATTTGTCGAAGAAGAGGGCCCATTTGCATCTCCTTAAATTATTCATTTAGTAGCATTGTTTCTTTTTGTTTTTTTGTTTTCCTTTTTTGCACCCTCCAGTATATGTTCAAATTGTTCATTACTATATTTTACATGTGTTGCTGATTACAATATGCATTTATTTTCAGTACCTGACTGAAAGTGTTTTCCTATTCCATAATTTTAAGCACAATGTGCTGTAACAGATAATTGCCACCATGCAAATGAGGTTTGTGTTTGTGTGTACAGAGTTTCAAAGCGTCGTCACAATACTGCCTGAAACTTAAACTTTAATAATTTGCAATATAAAATGCGTTCTTTTTAATTGATGCAGCAAGAAATAAACAATTTATTTGATATTTTTTGAACTTACCTCATTTAAATTCGGTTGTATTTATTACATGGCCTTGTAAGTACTGCAGGAGCAAAGTTTTTCATGGTAATGAATAAAAGCTGTTTGTATATTGTGTATGACATCCAGTATCTGTTAAAGAACACACAATTAAAAGAAACCCGTTTTTGTTTCCAAAAGTCCCTAACTGCAATTCTGTTTTGTTGTAATGTTTTTAAATTAAAGCGAGAACAATATTTTCCCACGAGAAATTAGGGTTCGGTTATACAACTACAGGAGCTTTGTATTGCCGAACATTAGTCTAAAAAGTTTCAAAGACTTTTTTTAAAGGAAATTTTTAACTGCTGAATTCTACCAGTGTAAGCTTTTTTTTCTAAATAAACAATAGTTTTCTCAATGGGTCGTAAATCATTGTGTGTATTGTGCCTTATTGTATATTTGTCATCATTTACCAGCCTAATACCTTATGAATATACACAGCTGGGAGAGATTGTTGAGTCTGGGAAATTTAGCATAACCTTTTGTTTTATTTGCATTAAACTTATTGTGATGGAGACATTGGAGTAAAAGCCACACACTTTCTAAAAATATGTGTAGTTAATTTATTTGCATGCCTTACTGAGTGATTTTCTTCAGTGTATCTTATCCTTGTAAATGCTATTAGTATGTTTGTATAGCTCTAATTTCATAGAAAAAGAACAGATTACATGGGCAGTTTTTAATGAGTCACCTGAAGGCAATCCCATTGGCTTCTCTTTCTCAACATCGGACTGGCCCTAACAGAAAAATAACAAGACAGTAATACACTGCACATGCATCGGGATTAACATGATTGTGTATTTTCTTAGACAGCATCTTATTCCAGCTAGTAAACACTGACTCTTAAGGATACACCAACAAAAATGGCCCTGTCCATGTTGACGATGAAGGCATTATCAGGGGGGAGTATTGTGATCTCACAAAGAAGTAATAAATACTTAAGTGTAAAGATGGCAATGCATGGTGTGCATTGACAGCTTGTTGATCGAGGAGTCCTGCTGTTTACATTGTATTCTGACAGGTGCCATGGGCAACTGTCAGAATACCCGATCAGAGTGGACAGCTCATTGGCTGCCAGCTCTGATAAAAACATTTCCAGCCAGCTCCTTGGATTAGCTGATCGAAGAATGCCGGCTGCAAGAGAGCCGACAGCTCCACACATTGTGTGAATTTTGGCCAGGTACATTAAAACCGGCAGAAATTCAGCCAGTGTATGGGCACCTTTAGGTGCAGAGGGTAGTGCTGTACTGTGAGGCTTCCTTAAATTAGACCCTTGGTGAGAGATCCTCTTTGCCTGGCTTTTATGTAACCCCTTATGTGCATATTCCTCTTTCTTTCATTACTATCCTCTGTGCTGACTTTCCTGCTCCATAAGATCATTCTGGCTCTACAAATACATCTGCTTCATTCGTTCTGGGTCTGTCATCCTGATTCTGGCTTTACTACCTGAGGAGTGGCATAAAAGGAGCATTTAGCCACTGAAAACTTAAAATGCTTGCTCCAAATAAAGCTGAACTCTAGCCTTACCCTTTCCCCCACATTTATAGTAAGTCCTCTCCTGTGTTGAAACTGATTTCTCTCAATCCCCTGTAAAATTCCATCTCCACTATACTGTATAATCATTTGAAGCTGCAGCAGCTACCTCGAGCTCACCTTCATTGTCTGTCTGGACATCCTCCATTAATTACTTCTCCGATCTGTACTTTTGTGGGCCCCTTTCTCACAGCTATTAGCTTTCTTTGTCTAATTTGTTCCTGATCTTTATGTGAAAGAAACTTTATAACGTTCTGCTCACAGATTTCGACTAGTCAAGGAGTCGCCTGACTCTTCTGTTTAGCTCTGATGGTAGCCTCCTTCGAGGCAGTCTCATTTGCCCAGTTTTACTCCAGACCCCTATAACACAACAGCCTGCCGTCATAGGAGAGGTAAGTCAAGCTTCTTGACAAAATTATTCATCTGGCATTGATGACTGGGTTGCCACTGGCTTAGTGCTTCAGGAATATGGCTCTGGAGTCAGGGAAGTCCTTATTTCCGTTATCTTGGGAGATCCTCAGGAAGAACATCAGCCTGTTCGGCTGGGGCACTGGAGGAATCTGGTCTACCAATCAACATTCTGGAACACTGATATTTTCAGAGCATTCCCTACAACACTGAGTGGAGGGTCATCTGATCCATATTTAGTCAGACAAGGCCACAGCAGTGACATACATCAATCACCAGGGAGGCAACAGAAATCTGTGTGGTAGAGTGGATCCTGTCCTGGGCGGAATTTCAAATTCCAACATTTTTTTTTGCTATGTAACAAAGTTCACATTGCAATCACTGTCCATTGGTAACACTCACTCTCTTTGTTATTCCTGATGGACCCCATAAAGTGGAAGTAGCATCTTGTTCCACCATTTCTCAGTGGTACGGACAGGCCATCAGTTTATTGGGTTCACCCCTTTCCTTTTAAGGCACATTCTACTAAATCTGTGAGCGTTCCTTGTGCTTTTCCATATTAGGCATCTGTTTCCCAAATTTGCAACGCATCTCTTCAGTTCACACATTGTCTAAGTTTTACAGGTGAATGTTCAGGCCCATTTTGATGCTACCTTTGGGTTTAAGATCCATCAGGTGGCTCTTTGTGCTGCAGACAGTCTCCAGGTCTGTTGTTTTTCTTGTGTTAGTGTTTTTTTTTTTTTTTTGCTGTTGCCCACCCCTCAGTCAGGTTTCTTTTGGCTGTCTCTACAGTTCTGAATTCCTGTGTCACTTAATGGACAAGAAATATAAGATTTCTGTACCTACTGTAAAGTCAATTTATAGGAGTCAATTTAGTTACACAGGTCTCACCCTTCTATGTCTATAATATTGCTCTTGATACTACTTTGTCACAAAACTGAGGCATGCTGGGAGTAGAGGGGTTATAGTGGGCTGGCCCACATTTTTTGTTTTGCCAGTGTCCAATCCTGCTGGCACCAGTATAACCCAACAGTTTGTGAATTCCTATGCCCCTTATGGACTCCAAGAAATGGATTTTATGGTATACAAAAAAATCTTATTCCTGTTAAAAAATGACAATAACAGAAATAACTGGCTAAATTGATAAAACACTGCAGAACAAGCCAACAGTATCTAATCAATTTGATTTATTGAACTCAAATCAGTAAAAAATATTCTTCTGCCAGATTTTCTATTGCTGTCTGGGGTTCCACTAGGGAAATTTGCCCTCCCTTTTTTTTTTTTTTTTTTTCGACGCCAGAACAAGAATTCAGGGTAGTGAAGGTCACCATATCAGGAAGCCCGAGATTGCAGTTAAAGCCTCACAAAGGTTCTAACCTCTCCCCATTCTGCTAAATAAGGATTTCTGTTGCTGCCTCCATTGGAGAGATTCAAATCACTTCCTGGTCCTCTGATCCCTAAACCAGAATAGAATGTAAGGGGAAAGGGCATTATATACCCATATGTTCTAATCCTTACATACGCTACCCAAAACAGAAACGATCTTTACAGTTATAAAACAGACAATATATAATTGGCTTTATGTATCCTTTAACCCATGAACTATAAACATCTGGCAGATATCTTGTATTGCCAGCTACTTGAATTGTTCAAGAAACTTTTGGACGATTTCTTAAGGGACCGTAATATACAGGGGTACGGGTACTCCTAGAATGAGATCCTAATAGGTTGGACTTGATGGACTAATGTCTTTATTCAACCTCAAATACTATGTAACTATGTAACTTTAAAAAAAAATGTCCTTGACTTGGGATTTATTTTATACTGGATGATGGGCTATTTTAATTTAATCACAACCTTCTCAAGTTGAAGAAGGTATCATTCTATGTAGTACTTTAGAGGCTTGATTTATATATAAGTTAAATAAATGTAGAAAATAATAGTCCCAGTGCAATCACAAAGTCTAGTCAAGACAAAAAAATTCAAAAGGTTAAAAATGAACACAAAATGGCACTTAGAAAGATCCTCTCATCCTTTTATACCCTTTTGACAACTTATTAAAATCAGTGAACCTAAAATAAATGGACAGTATTTCAAATACTGACATAATGAAAAGGGCAAATTACTACCACATGTTGTACAGATTTGTAGAATCTCAACCGCGTTCTTTATCTTTTGACAAAGATGATAATGAAAGTGGAAAGCAACCTTGTGTAGTCTTCTATGAGCACCATAAATTCATATCAGCACTGTCTAGTGAAACCCAAAATGTTCTTCTCTGGGATGTTTAGTAGAGGTGAGAAGTCATATTCAACAACTGATTACCTGAAGGATGTGACATTTTACTACTATCAACCTCTGGAGATAAAGCCCTGCCAGCGTATTTAACATACTGTCTTGGTACCACACAGAAAACAAGAGAAATATGCTTAACAGTGACACAAACCGCAAAAAAAAAACTGCCAGCACATCTAACCTATTCACACTCTAGATAGTAGGGCTGTATCAATGAATTAATACTTGCATAACATAGACCTATGCAGTATCAGTGAGAGCAATACAGAGAGCAGGGAAGCATTAATGAGTGCATAACGAAGACCAGTGCTGGCTAAACAGTGCCAATGAATTATTTTCTGATGAGAACATCATTAGAATAATTATACAATATTACCTTTTGTGGTATTTATGATGTCCCACCTGTTTTTTTTTTCTTTCTAACACCCTGTTGGCAGTAACAATGATCCCTTTCTCATTTTATTTGACTCGCGTTACATGAATGGATTAGAGGACAATGTTGTACTTTTATGACCTTTTGTACAAGCATTTCTTAAGAATGAATCAAGGATGTTATTTGCTCTGAACTGCCAATGGTAGTGGTTCATTGGTAGACAGAGCCCCTGTGTGTGGTGTTTGATTTAAAAATGTATGAACAAATAAAGTTAGCACATTCCTTCCTTTCTCTTCTATACCTATATTATTGTTTCCTCCTTTTTAGTAATTTTTGTCTTCTATGTATATCACTAATTTGTAAATAAGTCAAATCCGTATTTAAAGATCTAGTTGTCCTTCATTAAAAGCAAACACCCTAAGCAGAGCACATTCTACAACTGGCACACAATAAAGAGTGTGAAAATTCTAAAATCCACAAAGAACATTACAGGCCATGTTCCAAAGCAAACTAAATCAGACCGACCTGCTGTAAGGATCTTGTAAAGTCAGCTAAATAATGGTCATCAAAAGAGCCTGAAGGGTTGGCAATACGCCAAGCGAGTCCCCTCCTCCCCCTCTCTTCTTGCACCACACCAGGCCACATGCCTTCAAACATGTTCTTCGCTTCAGCTAAGCCGAAAGCGCAGAGGCCGTTCGGCAGAAATAAAGTTAACCAAAGGGAGCCGAAGCCAGCCGATGCACGTACT